CTGGTTTCACAGCAGCTTCATAAGATGGACCCTATTTCACCTTCAAAGGAACAGGGAACTGACAATCCTTACCTCTGCTTGCTATATCATTCACGATTACATAGATTTCAGACCCCCCCCCCCCCCCCCCCCCCCCCCATCATCTTTCTCAGGCAGAAAACCCCTCTTCCTTATAGAGAAACTCTAACATATTCTTTTTGAGGTAATGAGACTAGAACAACCTATACAATTCAAGGTATGAACAAATCATTAATTGATACAATGGTACAATTAGGGAGCAGAATAGCATTTGACTGGACTAGGAGGATTACCTGTTTCTTTAATAATCTCACAAAAAGCAAGCATAACATTTCTTGGTTTGTTCATGAAATGTGTATGTAAGTAATCTCTTTTCCTGTATGCCTGCTATGCAACACTTCTTTCCAAAACTCAGCACTATATAATAACAGGTTTCAGAACAGTTTTGCAGTAAGCACTCTTCAGGTTGCGGTCTTTATAGATCCGGATGGGTCTCAGGTCTTTGATTTGCTAGTGTGTATGTGTGGTTTTCTTGTTGTCAGTATTTCTGTGAAGACCAGGCATCCAACGCTCCTTGTTCCCACAATGCTGAGAAGGCTTAATAACATACTAGAGGTAATAATTAAGACTTAAGGTCAAATTTTAGCTGAAAGAGCAGAAACACTTGGTGAAAAAATGAATCAAATACTATTGTAATTCTGTTCTAACTCAACCACTGCTAGTTAGCTAAATTTTCTTTCTGAAGGTACTGCAGACATTTTCTTACAGTTAGATATGAGGGGCTTAAAGCTTAAAGTCCACCAGTGTTCAGTAAATTGCTGCTTTTGCATTCTGAGAAAAAGCTGGAGAGATAGGCTTATAGCTCAACATCAGACTACTCTGTGCTGGCAAGCTCTTGACAGTCTTTCAGCCCTATCCTTCCTGACCTGGAGACCTAACAGCCTCAAGGTATAGTTTTCCTGGAGTTACTCAACCACTGGTATCTTCCTTCAGTCATAAGCAGTGACTACTTCTCACCGTATTATGTTTGGGTTTTTTTACCCTAAGCTTGGCTCCCTATTTCTAATCCAATAAAAAACACATTTTGAAGACTTGCATCACTTGCTGCTGTGGTATTTGGAATATAAATATAAATAATTTGGCAGTTTTTCTTTCTGGTGTAAGTACCTTGAATGTTTGAGGGGGTATTAATCCTGGTTTCGTTTGCTGCCCTCTCTAATGCAGAGGTTTTAAATGATGCTAGGCTTTCTTGATCACTAATACTTAATTTTTCCAATGTGGGATAATTTACTGTTACATGATCGATCTCAATTAGGAATAGTGAGGCAATAACCTTATATCTTAATTAAATGGACTTTGTGATGCAGATTCGAATCAACATGATTTAAGTTGACCTTTCGCTTTCATGTCAGCACTGGGAGGACAGACAATATTTGACTCAGTAAGAATCACAATACAAGAGTAAAATATCCATATTGATAAAATGGATACTCTTGATTCAGCAGTAGAGGCCCTAGAAGCAGAGCTACTGAATAAAGATGCAGAGCCCTAGATACCTAGTGAGAGCTGCTACTAGCTCATACTAACAATTACATAGAAAAGTAGTGTTAGTATTCTGTAAAGCTCAAGGTTTCTACCACATTATGAGTTTGCTAATGAAACTTCATGTGGAATAAGAATGACATATCTGGGCTAGATCCATCTAATCCTGTACCTTGTCTCTGACAGCGACAGTAATCAGAGTATTCTAAGGCAGAATAGATGAGTGAGGCAAAGATGTAGCTCCTGAGTCAAAGGTAATGTCTTTCAATTTAAAAGAGAGCAATGGAGGTGGCAGGTTGAGTACTAAGCTCTTTGTTCAGCCTGCTTCACCTGGCACTGTTGTGCATGCTGGGAGCAGGCTCTGCTTATTAGTCTTCAAAGTGATGTGCTGACAGTACTATGTAAGTGATCAAGAACTGCAGTGTCTCTGACTGCAGTACTAATATCCTTCATCTAGACAGAAGGTAAAACTGTGATCCAAAGATGTCAAACACAATCGCTTATGTTTCTGAAGCTTCAATTGTGGCTTTATCTTGAAATGCTAAGGGTCTGCATTAAGCCTGTTGTAGAAATCATTCTTACAAAAGCTTAGTTGACTACTCTGCCTTATTCTGTTGATACTAGGATAAAACAAGTAAAGGTTTAATAAGGATTTCAACCAGGTATCCCACACTACTCATTTTACATGAATGGTTATATACTCATGTCTGTTTAGCTATTAATTACCTTGCCCTTTGGTACAACTGCTAACTAAAGACTAAATTCATTCCTATTTTTATTAAAGCGAGTGTACTTGGTGCTGTAATGATGAGCAACAGACTAAATCCGTGGTGGAAGAGAATTACAGCTGAAGCCAGAAGGGGTTTAGGAGATTAACATTACATTTTTTGTGGAAGAGAATGATAGTTTAATAAAATATGAAACAGGATTATTGCTGTAGATGACCTTAAAATACTGAATAGCAAAGGGCAGAGTGGCAATTGTACATACACATATAGCTGCAACTAGCTGAGGTGAGTCCTTGTGTATAAAAAAAAGACAATCAAAATGACATAAAAGGCCCTAAATACTGAATGCCTGTTTTCATATAGTTTAATGTGAATGTTAGCTTACCAGAGAAGCAAACAAAAATAAACTCAACTATTTCTCCCATTCTGTTAAGACTTAAACTGTATTCAGAAAGAGATGAAAAGCAAATTTCAGTGAAAGAGCAAAAAAGCAAAAGAGGTTAAAGCAAATTTCATGGTGTTTAACTATGGTATTATAACTGCCTGGGTAGGCTTGACAGTCTCTCAGGTTGGCTTTCCATTCTCATGCAAACTGCATCTCTCTGTGTTCCAGGACCCCCACTGTGCACCAGGGGTGTCCATGTGGCAGGACATACTATTCTGCTGGGCGCAGTCCTTTACCATCTCGGTGTGTGTAGTGCAGCACTAAGCTCCTACAAAGAGCAGATAATTTCTTTGTCGTCATGTTCTTGGAGACTGTTAGACATGGGCTGCTGCTGGGGAGTGCAGTCTGCCTCCATCAAGTTCTCCCAGAACTCTGATGGCAATGAACTATATTTTTCTGAAGACCTCTCTTGTTTTGTATATAAATGCTGACTTTTAAAATAAACTCCAGCAAGCATTTCCCATGTGTCTTAGTTCAACTGAGACGTGCAACAGGTTATTGCCTTAGCTTTTTGTGGTAAACATTTCATTTAATTCAGCAACACCAAAGCCTATGAGATAATGCTGAGATTTGCTTGAACACAGTGCCAAAAATAAGGCATTGAAAGAATGATTTGTGACTGAATTATCATTCATCTTCTGTTATAACTGAGTTTTACGCTACGTAGACTGAAATGGCACTTCAGTGACTTCTGCTAGCGTTTTAAAATAATGCATTTTTAGTAATATGGTGACATATTTTCCAAGGATGTTGGTTTAGTTTTATTAAATTTGGTCAATTTTTTCATTGCACAATTTAGCACCAGTACTACCTAGACTTATGTTATCAGATATTTCATTATAGCTATGTTTTAGTTTTGTAAATGTTTACATTTTAGTAAGCATATCAAGTAATCGTACACCCACAGGTGTTAAGGCCTTGCTATACTTTAATCATAAACTGTTTTCCCCATGTGCAGTTTATTTGTGCTGAATTTGCAATGCAACGATAAAAGTCTTTGGTGCTTGCTGAAGGAACATACCAAAAAGGTATGGTAAACCAAGTGATTTCATTGAAACCTGTCAACCTTGGTGTGCTGTACCCCAGTCTGGACAGTTCAAGTGGTCACTGAGCTCCCTGTAAATGAATACCTTGGCTCTGACAGAAAGGTTAGGGAGAAACTTGCCCACAGTTACTCTGCCTGTGCGCTGTAATCAGGCTGGCATTTAGGTATGGGTATCTTTGAGCATTTCGTTTGGGATGTATCTCTGATGTGAGACAATTGCTGTGAGGAACTGAGTTATGTATAAAAGCGATATGGCTTCTTTTCATAATGGTCAGTTATCTTCTGAGCATTTACAGTATTAAATCCTCATTATGGACAATGCATGCTGGTTCCAAGTCAGTACTTGTAATGTGGGCTGAACAGTGTGTTCATGGAGCAGGGTGCTCTGTGCCACCATGGTTTTTGCAGCTGTCAGCCTCCAAGCATGTTGCAGTCTGCAAGAAGTGATGCAGCCAATGTCTGTTACATGTTGTTTAGTCTCTTAGCTTTTCCCCTGGAGAACAAATGTGCATGCTGTTATTTGTACCCTTTTGCATGGGTTCTGTTTCAAAACAATCCACAGCTGTGTTGTGTGGTAGAAAGAGAAAAGGACAAGATTAAAGTGTGTTTTGCATACAGATTGGGATGTGGTAAGGCTTGTATTAGCTTCTGTGAGAAGTTTTTGAATGTCCTTCAGGAAAACTTGGTATCCTGCACAGCTGAGCTTCACCTTTACATAAACATAGCTGATTGTGCCAGTGTGTCATTTCTGCTGACAACATGATTTTCATCCTGCAGCTTTGGGAGAGGTCTTAAATGTAATACCTACAGTAACCAAAAGCTACTTCATGATGAGCAAATAAGAATGGTGACCTGGCATTAGGCTTTTTTAGTGAGGGAAGCCATGATGGGAGAGTAGAGTGAGAGCTGTTAATAGTTTCAGTTGTAGAGGAGAGGTGACACAGTATCTGTGTTTATCAGAATTTATTGGGAGCTGTTTTCTATCTGGGTGTGTTCTGCTGTAGTTAAGACTGTGGCATCTGCCACAGAAATGGGATAAATCCTTTAGCTGATTTGGGATAGTAAGAACCAGCCAAAAAGACATTACTTATAGTTTCTCTGTGCAACTGAAAGAAGGACATAGCACTCAGTTGGGAATTAAACATGAAGCAATTTCCCATTTCTAGAAGTTCATTAATACTTTTTTTACCCTTATATGAAGTTCTATGAAACTTGATAAATAAACATTTGTTTTAGTTAAATCTTCATCAAGAGATACAGTATCTTTGTCCAATAGATTGTACTTTACTACCAGTAAAAATGAACAGCAATACAACACATTATCAAAAAAAAATCCATCCAAAGAAGAGCCTCCCACAGCCATTCCGGCTGCACACGACAGTCAACTACTTTAAAGAAACAGATGGTCCAGATAAAGGAGTAACTGCAAGTTAGAAGAAAAAGAAACAGAACAAAACCAAAATAACCCCGAACATAAAATCTTCCCCAATTAACTATGTGATGGATCATTTGGAGCTATATCAATTTACAGAATCATGGGAGCTGCAAAGTACCCAGATGCTGCCCTATTCTCCAGAAACTTCCCTGTGCTCTTCAGCAAGGTACACTACACTAAAAAAATGCCAAGACACTGCAATTTTTATCTAGTTTAGTCTCAGGACTCCAGCTGCAAACAGCAACCTGGAATGGTCAAGGCATGAGGGTCCTTGCTGGATTTTACCGGCTTAACAACCATGGCATCCTCCCAGAATCCATTTTTCACATTGAAATTATAGGAATGCACCACATGAATTCTTCTAAAACCTTTACCAGTCAGACTGCACCCCCCTTGGCCTAGAGTGGCTTTACCAAAACAGGCCCTAATTAACTATTTTTAATATCACCGTGTCCCCCGTCCCCCCCACCCCGCCTTGAGTTGAGCCCTGCGTGGCCTGCCAAGATTCCTTTCCTTTTTGGGGTGTGCGCAGGGAGTAGCTTAATCCTGTTAGTATCTGCGATGCTTGTTAGAACCAAAATCAGCCCCTGGATTTCCTCTGTTGAAGGCAGGTGGATTCCCTCCCATTGCTCCGAGGCCCTCCATCGCACCGCTCTGGCCAAAGCGGTCTGCAGGTGGTGGTGGAGTCATTCCCATCACGTATCATAGCTCCAGGACCAGTCACAGAAGGTACAGCAGCTGGGACATTGGTACCACCCATGGCTCCTCTACTGTTCATGCCAGTGGTGCTTCCCGTACTCATCTGTCCCATTCGCATGTCTGGTAGCTCCCTCGTATCAGCAAAATTCCCTTTAAAGCCTTCCTGCTGGCGTCTCATCATCTCTTCTTGCTGCCTTCTCATTTCCTCCTCATGGCACCTGCTCTCTTCCTCTTGCCTGAGTTCCAACTGTTCACGTTTTTGTACTTCTTGGTTATGCAATTCCTCCATTCTCCTCAGCTCTTCCTGGCGTCTCATTAAATCTTGCCGCATGAGCATAACTTGGTGCTCATGGCGTGCTGCTTTCATTTCCATTTCCAGCTTCTCTCGAGCTTCCTTGATGTTGCAGTCTACTTGCTCTTGCTGCTGTTTCTCCATTTCTATTAGAGCTTTCCAACGCATGGCATATTCATATTCAAAGCTACCAGGCTGTGCAAACCGAGGAGGCTGCTCACGCTCCTTGTGATATTGCTGGTTTTTAATGATTAGCTTCTCTGGCAGACCCTCTTCATCATCATACTGATCCATGGGCTCCACAGTGACAAGGAGAGAGAATGTAGTTAGCAGGAAAGACCCATCGCTACATCTATCCAGGGCTTTCCTAGCAGCAGGCTTCCCTGAGAGCTCCACAATGCCTTTCCCAGAGGATTGTCCTCTGTCATCCACACCAACCACAGCCCTTTCCACCTGGCCAAACACTGAGAAGGCTTCCTCCAGGAGCTCATTGGACACAAACTGAGGCAGGTTCCTGACTGTCAGTGATGCACTGTGGCACGCAAAATGCACTCTTAGCTGCTTCCCACATAGAGGCATGTTGTCTAGTTCCACCTTTGCAATCTCTGTCAGAGTGTGAGTTTCCAGCATGATAAAGCCAAAGCCTTTATCCTTGTGGATGAAGACTTCACCTGCCTTGCCATACTTCTCAAATAACTTTCTCATCTCTTCCTCTGTAATGTCAGGGGGCAGATTCCCCACAAACAGGCGGCTTCTTTGGGTGAAGGTCTTTTCACCAGGTTTCCGGAAGTTCTTCAGGTCAATAGTCAGGCCTTCATTATGGCTGTTCGCCTGCTGCCCGTTGGCGGGGATGGACGGTGGCAGGTGCGGCTGGTGCTGTTTCCGCGGAGCGTGGTTCTGCTTCTCCATGTTGAAGCCCTTGCTGCCCAGCATCTTCCCCACCTGGCGACGGACCCCGGCTCCGCGGCAGATGGTGGCCTGCAATCCCCTCAGCGGCACGGAGGAGAGAGCGCGTGCGCAGGCAGCCCTCACACAACCTAACCAGGCGCCCCAAACTGGAGGTTAATGACCCGATGCAGCAGCATACCTAAGCGCTTGCTTAACTTTAAGCAGGTAGACAGTCCTTTTGAATTCTAAATATTAAACCATCACACCAGTGGAGTGAGTAGAAGACTCCCACTGGCTTCAGTGAACCAGGATTCAACCTAATTCCCTAATTAAATGATTCTGTTCTTCCAAAAATTTATTAGAAAGATAAATGTTCAGTAACTGCTTTGAGTATTTTTAGTGAAATCTATTTGCTTAGGACAAAGATTTTCCATGACAGTGAATCAAATACTTTTGTGATTTCTGACTGTGCAAGTGATTAATAAGAAGGTGAGATAGTGCATATGTGGAGTATTCTCTCTTGTTAGTGATGTTGGACTCCCTTGTTCTGGTGAATTAGCTTCAGTCATTTTCTCATTTTTCTGTCTCCAGTTGTTGAAATCAAAGATGGCAAAAGATGTTTAAAATACTTTTGCAAAATCAGCTCTTAAAATTACATTTTAATTTTTTACATTCAGACTTGAATGCAATTATTTATAAGAGAAAAGACTGAAGAAGGGGTTCCTTCTCTTGCGAACAATTTCTCCATTATTCCTTCTGATTTAATTGGCCTAAAGCAAAACTCCCCCATATTTTCCAGTAAGAGGAAGAAAAGGGACTTTTTATTTCTGCTCTAAGAAAAAGCATGATCTGTCAGCCTCTCTTTAAATAAATTGTTGTATTTACCACTTTTGAACGGGAGAATGATTTTGCGTTTGTAAAATTATCCCTAAATATTTGTCCAGGTTTTCTGAATGAGGTGACTAGCATGTCAAAAAAAAAAACCAAACCAGCAAACAAAAAAGTTGCCTAAACAAGTCCCACCACCACACAAGAAGATCACATTGTTACAGAAATGTGGGTCACGGCAGGATATGCTTCATATGTTTGATTGAATCTTTTTATGAATGGCACACTTTCATGCATTTCTTATTAAAGGAAACGTAGTGTTTTCATTTATTAGGAGGTAGGAGTGAGACTAGTATTAAAGAGATTATAGTGTATGATTTATTCATCGCCAGCTGCCAGCGCTTCCGACCTGTGAGATGATACCTTATGAGAGGGCTTTCTAAGGGCAGGAGAGTCAGGATTTCAGCTGATGTCCTGGGGGAATACACCTTTCAAGGACATGTTCTCCTCTATAGAGACCTTGACTCAAAGAAGAGTGGGAATGCCATTCGCACACTACATCCGCTAATATATTTGAAGGAAGGTTGTTTCCCTTTTCCATGTCCATACTGAACAAGGCAGTACAGCACAGACACTGAGTTGGCAACACCAGCTCAGGTGAGTATCACATACAGTATTACATTTCCAAGAAGAGATGTGGGCTGGGAGTGAGCCCTAACTCTAGTTCCCACATCAGCTCATACAGATCCATGTTGTCTGTCTCTGCCTTGTATTGTGTTGTCTTTCCATTTTGGACTCAGGCTGCCAGGGATCCAGACAGAAGACTTTATGCCAAAATATCCTAAAAATTGAAACTGATTGAGACAGAGCTTGCTAGTAGGCTAGCTGCAAAAAAATTTCTTCTCTTCCCAGGTGATCCAAGGTTAAAGTTTCCTTGGACTTGGAAAGAAGGCAGAGCTTTAGTAATTCTGGAAAAAATGAAAAAGCTATGCATAAATTCTTTTTCCTACTGCAGCAGTCCATAGGGATGGAATAGGAAGATGATGTGTCTTGTCTGTACTGATGCAGAACTGTGTGGGGATGTTTTTATTTTATTTAGAGGTATTCCCTGTGATGGTAGGATAACTTGCTAAAAGAAAATAACATCTGATTTGGACAGATGTCTGTCATTGTAATTATAAGCTTTCAGGTGGTTAGTGACAGCAAAAATGGTTGGAATCAAAATATTTAGGCTGCCTCCCAAGTGTGTTCTAAATCAGGTTGAGCTCTCATGCAGAAACTTAAAATAAATAAGTGCATCCTTCCTGGGGCCTTCTGCACACAGATACAAAATAGTTCTTATCTGAGAAATGTCAAATGCATTTGGTAAAGCCAGAAACTGAATCCATAAGAAAACCCCACAGAATAAAATGCATGTATCCCTTCTCTGTAATGTTAGCATGAGTCGACTTCACTATTTTCTTTCCAGTAACATCCAGAACTAGTCCACAGTTTCAGTCGGCCACTCCCAATTTGGAGCACTAACAACAACCACAGAGGGGTTTTAGTAAGTCTCTTTTCTTTGGTTTCCTTTAAGGGGACTTGCATGAACTCTAGACAGAGATTTAGGTTTTCTGTTTTAAGATCTTAGCTCTGCTGTTCTCCTGTTTTATCTCTCCCTACAAATCCTCAGGGGGTGCAATTTCTTATCATGGAATAATCTGTTCTGTGTCTTGCAGGGAAAGCATAATTTTTGTCTCTGTTAGCCAAGTCAACAACTGGGAGTGAGAAGATTTGAGGCTCTTGAGCAGATTCATTGCTTGGATTTCCTTCTTGCTTGGGAGTGTTTTCTTCTCCCCAGACACCCATTGAAGGCAAGAACTTTTCCTTGTCCAAGCTCCTCTCATTACCCAGGGCTGCCTTTCAATACCAGATTCGTATTAGTCAATGTTTATGCAACTTTCCAAATGCTACAAGAGAAAGAAGAATTCTTTGCCAGCTGTAATTTTAGGATGCGGGCATAGGTGATGATAATAGCTCTTCAGATGAGCCAATTAGTAGATGATTAACAGATGAAAACATACTATAAAGACTTTCTTGTATTCCACTTGTCCTCCTCAAGAACTAACCCTGACCTAAGTCACTTCCATCTCTTTTTTCCTTTTTGTTTTGATATTTTAGGAGGCTTTTTTCCTAGGGATGTTATATTTGCTTTAGTGCCTTTTCATATCTTATTTGAAAACATTACTTTACACAGTATTCACTTCATAATTAACAATTAACAGGCTTGCTTCCAGTCATAAACACTGAAGTTCTCTAGATGTTTATTCTGATCTCTCTTAAAGATGAATCATACAGGCAAACTCCTTTAACCTCAAAATGGAATCCAGATTGCCTGCAATTGCCTGCAGAAGTTTGAATTAACACAGTAAAGCCTTTCTCACTTCACAAGCATTTTTTTTTTTTGAGTTCAGAGTCACTCCTCAGCCTCACCTACAGGAGGCTGATTGATTTGGTTTGATTTTTTTGTGTCCTGCCTTCACATTGGATCTTCCTAAAAGTATGAACAGCACAGGCACTTGCACTGATCAGCTGTGGACGATTTGTGTAGACTAAAAGATGGGTCATTGCTGGCAATCGGCAACTGTCAAGTCATGAGAAGAGAAATTGCTTGTGTTCTACACCGCGTGCTCAGACGTTTCAGCTCTCTGATCGCCATGGTTGAAATATGACTTGCAACAGGTGAGAAATATCCCTGGTTATGGGGTTACACAGGAAAAGGTGTTTTCTGTCTCTCTGTTCACTGAAATTTTAATATCCCCATGTCTGTGACCAGAAGAAAGGATATGGGGTTTTTCCCTGCTGGAGTTGAGAAGTCATGGAATTTTCTGTTTTGATAAAATTCACAGGTTTTGAAACTGCTCCTGCATTGTAGCTATCTTTTATAGCTGTCTGTTTTTTTTTTTTTTTTTAAAGGGTTCAGTTTGCAGCCAGCTGCTGATCTTTGGAAGAAAAAAAAAAAGGCAAAGGATCTAGCCATGTGGACATGTTCCTATCTTGGAGACTCCCAGGCTTATAGACATCTGCAAAGAAGATGACAGAGCCTAGGCTGATCTGCAGCAAAGGTGGCACTTACAGAAGAATTGAAGACTGGTTATGGTTGTTAACAGGCTTTCATCTCTCTGTCTGCTGGGAGATGAGGTGACACTTCAGATGTCACCTGAGGAAGACTTCTGGCATTAAGGGTAAGGAAGGAGTCAGCTTCCAAGCTGTTCTCTCTGAACAAATTCATTTCCCAGTGGAAAAATGTAGTGTTCGGAACATCATCTGGCCATCTTCAGTTCCTGTTTTATTCAGGGCTTGAGCACTCTGGTCCTAATTCTTCAGTTCCCTAAATTTCATCTAATCATTTATACCTGTCAGATATGGGTTTAACAGGCTTTGCTGTTCTGCTTTTATGCCTTTCTTTGTACTTTTGCAGTATAAATAACATTAGAACAGTAAAATCAACAGAATAAATGGCTAGGAGAGATGGGATGCAATAAGAAACAAAGGCATGTGATATTAAAAAAGCAAGATACACTCAATCCACTGCCTATCTGGTTTCTATGTACTGTTCACTCAATAAGGGAATAAGGTCCACCAGAAAATTTTGGAAAATGAATCCCTCAGAGAAAAAGCAAGGGTTGTACCTGCTGATAGATGGTTTGGTTTGCAGATACCTATGGTTTGTGCTGTGTGCCAAGAGGTTTGTGGAGTTTGTTCAAAAGATTGAGATGCTGTGGGGGAATGGCGATACATCCTGAGTTCTGCTCAGCTCCTTGGGCCAGTGGAGTAGAGGAGTTATCCACCATTCTGCCTACAGATGCTCTGAAATTTAAGCCAGGTTTTTTGTCATCTTGGGAAGCACAAACTAAGATCCTCCACGTTATAAAAACTGAGGAGAACACTGTAGGGTTATAAAAATGTGGAGATTTCTTTGTAGCTCATTGTGACTCTTGATATAACTGTTTAGTGGAGGATATGTGACTGAACCATCCCCGTGGCAGATTGTTAATGGATTTCCAGAGCTGGTCCTGAGAGCTTAGGTGGTTGGCATACTCTTGAAACAAGCTCATTTGTGATAGGGGGTTGACAGGTCACCCACTTTTCCCTCAGGTTCTCTGTGCAGCTGAAGTGGTATAATTCGCATTTTAAATACAGATAGCGCTTCAAAGAAATTATTTCAGTTAAAATGACCATATGGAAAGGTTGCAATATGTGTTTTATGTATTCATGTCCGTCTGCCTCACCTGAAGAACCGTAGTCTGCAGTAGCTAAAGGCTTCTGGTGGAGTTCAGGGACCTCTTTA